GGCCCCTCCATCAAGATATTTGCTTTTCGCTGCTGCTTCTCCTCCTCCGCAGCGCCTCGAGAGGCACAGAAGCTGCTAACGTGGCTACCGCCGCATACTTAACTTTATATTCCTAGAACGCAAACTGTCTCCCTCAGTGGAAAGTGCCAAACTTTTTCTGGTTTTTTTCCTTTCCCCTTTCCATACGCAGTTGGAGCTGTCACAGCAGGTGGTGAGGCACAGGCTATGAAAATGCTAGCAAACCATTGGTGATTATGCAGGCAAAAGATGCCTCAAAAACCAAGAAAAAAAAATAAGAGCGTTAGAGAGAGAGCTTCTCAGCCAAGATAGAGCAAAGAGGAAAGCAGAGGGCTTTGCGACAGAGTCATGAAAAATGAGAAGCGAGCAAAAGAAAAGGCTAGAAAGAAGAAAAAAAAACAACTTTTACACAGAAACAGGAATATCTGCTGCACTTGGTGACACAATGATACGATAAAAAAAAAGCCGAGTTCCATCTTGATTTGTGTGATTTCTCCCCGGGGGAAGCAGCCCGTTTGATGAAGCTATTTCAGCTTAGAGGAGGAGAAGCCTTGAAACTTAGAGAAGCTGTCTGTCAAGCAATGCTACAGTACTGATTTGACAGGAATAGTAATTCTGGGTGAGCCAGGCATCTCTGTGCACTGACAAGAGGATCTACAGCAATGTAAAACTTGGTAATAAAAATACACACGGGAGAAATATATATGTATACATATATATATGTATTAAAAAAACGACCCGAAACTTTCAGGCCAAACACGCCTCGTTTCAAGAAAGAGGGGCTGGCTGACAGGAGACAGCAGGGAGGGAGGAGAGTGCCACCTGTTGGACAAACAAACACACTTCGCTTGTTACTAATAAACACAATCTGAGCATCAAGTCTTAACAAAGGCAGCCCGTCAGGTGTGCGATCAAACTACGCACTAAATATTTTTAAATCCAATTAACTCTAATCACTAATTAATTAATTAACAAGACCAACGATAATTCTTACTCAAGCGTTTCCAGAAAAACTAAGTCGATACAATCATCTCAGTTAACGCTGTGTCGTTGGTCACACACGAGAAGGAATTCAAAGAGGTGACTTTGATTTGTGACTCTCTGGGTAACTGACTTTGTAGCGTTTCTCTCTTTATTCACACTGATGCCATACTACATTCTGTTATGGTCTCCCATGCGATGTCAGCTTCATGTACAGTATTTGGAATACATGCAGAATTACACGTGTGCCCTTGCAGGGCTACTGCAACACACAGCAGCACCGAACACTTTGTGTGTGAGCTGGAGAGTGAAGCATTATGGTTTCCTGATCAGTTTGGACTTTATGCAAACTTCTGAGTAAGTGTGAGCACTGGATTTGTTTTGTAAAGAAGAAAGTGGATTAATAAACCTCGTTTTCTACAAGAGGACTTTGGGGTGAGTTAACTGGATTAAGTAAGGAACATGTGCCAGCTCACAGCTTACCCTGTGTGCATTCTACACCTATTGTTACTCTTGACTAGGGCTGCACGATATTAGGAAAACCTGCGATGTGCGATAACTGTGATCAATACTGCGATAACAATATGACTTCTGATAAAATAAATAAAAACGAATACATAATTTTCATTTTACTGCAACAGTTTTATTTAATGAAAGCTGCTGCATTAGCAGTGTAACAACAAAGTGCACTTTAACATTGAAACATTGCCCCCATAAAACAATTCTGAGGCTTGAATTCTGAAAGACATCCTTCCCGGTCTCTAGAATTAGTTTTAAATAAACATAACTTAAATTATAGTGCAAATTATCTCAGTGCAGTTGTTCATCATTTAGCACTCACCAAGTAGTTATGATGCAAGTCAAAACTGGAGAGGAAACTTTACTGTAG